CAAACAATTGCAGGAATTGATGAACGAAGTGACGGACGGGCCAGCGAATGGTTAGGCGAAATGATAGTCCGGAAAAGCGACATAATTTTACTCACGGCTCTCGCGTCTTTTGTCTCCCGAAAGACTCATCGTCCTGCTTAGTTCCCCTTTAGTCGCTTTCATACGTTGCCCATGGATAGTGCGCAGATCCTCCAAAAATTCCTCTGGGTCCCTCACCTGTCTGGTGACCGAGCTTCGTCGCCGGTCACGGTGGTACTGCATCATGGCCGGCATGTCGGTTTCTCCCATGCTTCCGCCTATGCAATAGAACAGGTGATTATTACGGATCGAACGTAGAGAGCATGATAATCAATTTTCTTGCTATGTCAAGGGCGACCTGCGCTGATTGAATCAATCTGGATTCGATTTACATTAAAACTACCGAGTAGTTGAATTGACTTTTTGAAATTTCTCTATAGGAACTCCGAGAGTGCATCTGCCGAGACTTCAATTAATTTACAATTCAATTTGAGAATTGTTAAATCCGGTAGTTTTCTGGTGGTTATTGAATAAAGGAATCGTGACATTCTCATTATATTAATGGAATTTAGTAAATGCATGGATTGCAACCAATAAAAGTGTAATTATGATCTTGGTGAAAAGTAATTAATTACATTCAAATGTGTTTCACTGGAAGCAGGTATTATATTTACAGGGATGAAAATAATGTACAAAATCTACCTGTTTTTGTACTTGTTTATTAAGCAAGCATTTTTATTATCTCTTATTATACGCGTTCTGGTGATAATGACCAATTAAATCGAGCAAATAAAAATGTAAATAAATTAAAACATTCCAACTCAGACATTTCGTTGCCAACCGTGACCAAGGACCAATTATCTTTTCGTGTCACATATTCCTAAGTTATTTATGATTTTTTAATGCACAGAAAAAACCATGGCTACAATAAATATTTAATTTTAAAAATATTAAAATTATTTTATACATATGTATTAAAACTACGTACGAAACGCGGAAAATCTCGCCATGCGTTCTTAATCCATTCAAAGTACTGAGTGCATTTTTTCACCTCAATTAAAATACAGATTATTTCTGACCGAACCAGTATTGATCTTTTATATTTGAGGTTTTGATTTTTGATGCACATCAAAAAATGATTATCGGGCACAGGATTAGACGTAATATTAATATCTGTTATATGCTATCTAACCACATTAATATCTACAAAGTTTTTCTACGTTCATTTATAAGTGCAAGCTACAGAAAAATACTAACAAATATTAACAAATACAAATTAATGCATTACTCTTAAACATAAAATTAACACAAAATATTCAATGCACTAATATTTTTCAATCCGTCTTAAATCCAATCGTTTTATGAAAAATATGGAACCCAGACGGTTTTTACCCAGTAAGGTCAAGAGAGCAAAGACTGTGATTTAAATTAATGAGACCATTACAGGTAAAATTAATCACATACTGATTTTCAATACTCCATCATCTCCAGATTTTTTTCAGACGCTTAGAGATTAATTTTTCCTTCAGTAACTGCAGATATTTAACATAACGATTAAAAGTTCCAATAATGAATATTAAATCTCTAACTTTTTTTCTTGTCTTAACTCTTCAGTTCCTGGTGATATCCTCTTGAAACCATATATATCAATATTAGTAAAATGCGAACCAGTTGCGAAGCTATTAGTATAAAATCGATATAGTAATAATCACCTACTTCTTTGACAATTGAACTAGCATTTTTCGAAAAAATATTTATTTTTATTCAAGTAGATAAAGTAGTTAAGAAATATTCTGAAAATAAATATTTCTTCCTAAATGTTTCTATTTGGGACCTAAAAGGTTAAATGTTAATATTATTGACAGAATTTTATTCCTCGCAATTAAGAACACTCTAACATATAAGTGTTGAATACGTATATTTAATAACTTCACAGGTTAAAGCAAAACGTAGAAAAAATAATAACGTAAAACAAGGAGAAAGAGGCACAAAGGAAAAGATATTACACGACCTTTGACTCGATTCTACCCGTTAGTCACGAAGCGATCTCATAAACGGTGTAAACAGAAATAAGTACTTTGAAGTCGAAGGACCACTCTGAAATTGAAGATACTGCAAAACACAATTCTCTATTTGAGAACAAGGACGGAAGCGCAGATAAGTACCATGGGTGACCTGAAATTTCCACGACGGTATCTGGACTCGCTGGAACTCTGATTTCCAACCCTGACCTAGTTTTTAGCAGATATAATTCCAAAGTTAAACAAGCAGAATTCAAGCGTGTCGCGCCCCTGTAAATCTATCTTACGCTTACGAGCTGCCGAAGTAATTTATTTTTGTGGAACCGAATGGTTTAATTTGCATGCCAAGGGGAGCTGACCAACGATAAACAACTTTAAAAAATAGACAAGAAGTTCGATTAACTGCATTTATTAGGTCAAACAATAAGTCTTCCCTGGCTTCCACGAGATTATTTATATTATTATTTTGAACATACTTTAAAACTTTCTGGAAAAAATGTAATCATACTTGTTTCACAATTTTTTCTTGTTTCTTCGGTATAGCTAGTATTTTGGAAGACTTCTTCTGTTTTTAAGATATTTTTGTAAATTGTTACTGAAGATATTAATATGTTTCAATTTTTGTAACATTAGGAAATAGTGTGAGTCATAGAATAAATAATATTCAAAAATGTCATCAAATTTTTAATTTAAGTAACTTCGTGTTAGAAACTTATAAGAAATAAACTAATAGTAGATTCATCCTTTTCACAATTATTGAGTTTTTGATACTGAAGAATTAAATTTAAAATTTCTCTGCTGAGAAAAGTAAACCGCGACATAGTACATCAGTCTTCATTCTTCGACAAAATGGTACCATTTTTAAATTTGCTGTTGCTTTGTTTTTCACATTCGTATTCACTCTCCTAACGTTCTTGCCAGCTTTTTCAGTCCTCTAGGTCAAGGTTCATTTCTATTATCTTACTACCGTCCAAAAATGATCCATACCACCTATAATCCTATGTCATAAATAGAATACAGGTTGACATGTAACTTGATCCCCATAAATCCATTTCATTTATTTCAATGATTTTACTGTGAATTAAATATTGATCCTTATCCAACACATCGATACTGCTTTTTACAATGCATCAATAATACTCACAGGTGTACAATTTATAAAACTGTACATGTTAACGTCATCGAATTAAAACTACCAATGAAGGTAGAATTGAAATTGAAGAAAAGAATTGTTGAACTTTCATTTATTCTAAAGGTTTCGTAAATTCTAAAGTGTGCAAGTAGGGTTGCGATCCAATGAAAGACATCCACGAGTAATCACCTCCCTTTATGCAGGCCAGGTCTAAAAAATTGTGTAGGTTGATGGAGATGCACCCGTTCTTCCATTTATACAGCACTTCTTTTTATACAAGTTTCTTTTTTACGTCATAAATTATGATACTATTTATACGGTACTATTTATACAAGATATCAATTTACGCAATCCGAATTTGGTGACACCAAGTAAAATGTACTTTTGTTTTTTGAAGTGTCATTATTATTATTTCTATGTTCAGCTATGCGAAAGAAGTATGTATTTCTAAAACTTACATCAGCGTTTCTTTCCAATATTTTGCTTTCTTTTCTATTTACGCGATTTTCATTCACACAAAACGAATTCACGTAAAACGGATACTCCGCGTAAATGGAGGGACGAGTGTATGAGAAAACTTTCGTCGAAACCTTTGATGTAGGTAAGTACGTGTCCTCAATTTTGGCGACCTTGAAATATTACTTAGACCCGGTTACCAGTCTTTATAGACATATGTTTCCAACACTTTCAATGAAGCACAGGATAAAAGAGATTGTGCACGAGAAATTGTAAACGTTCGAAAACGTGGCAGTGTTCAAAATGTAATAAGGTAAAAAACTGTACTTGTGAAATGAATATGATTTCGTGAATACCATTTTGGATGAGTAATTGATTTCTTGGTTACTGTTTAATTTGTTGAATGAAAATATTGTTGCACTTTTATTCGTAATTTTATTCATTCAAATATGTGCGAATTACTTTTTAAGATAACTCTAATCAAAGAGAAACTAACGATTCAGCAAATATACATTTGCCAATTTTACGAGCACATTTAAATCATTTTGGCACTGCAATTCTGAAATGTTATACTGTAACAAAATATTGAACAAAAAATGAATTTTCAGCGTTGCCAGAGTTGCCAGAGTTGCCAGAGTTGTACACACACTGAAAATTGGTTCTTAAATAACGTTAGAATATTTTTCTCTAAAAATGTACATCTTATGTATCTGGTTTCCACAATATTGCTACTTCTTGAAAAATAATTTCAGTTTTATTACTAGACTACGGATCAGATTCAAACTGTTAAGAATATAATTAGAAAAACAGAATTACGACAGAAAGTGATTTTTCTTAACGAATGTTTTTTCAACTAACGGATGTTTTATATATTTTTCGAAACTGCGTACATATTGTGGAAGTTTGGACTTTCAACTGTCCTCTTAACTAGAAAAATCTTATGTAGAAAAATCCACAGTCTACTTATTACTTTCTAGCTGAAATTTCTCTTTATAGAATAAATCTTCATATTGGATATATTTTTCGATACCATTCCATTCGAAACGTTAGCTCGTTCCAGTTTAAAACGTAACTGGTGCGTACTTACGTTTACTATCGGTGCCACCTTGACTTTGGAAACTACTCCTCCGACTGCCAGGCAAGGATCTACTGTAATCCCTGTTCAGTTCATATGGCTCGACTTCCAGTTGTTCAGATTGACTGGAACCTCTTCTGGAATTTGTATGCCAAGCATGGTTTGGATGCAAGAAGCTGTGCTCGGGACTTCCGCTGTCGCTTTGCGTATCGTCGCTGTAACTTCTTTCGCGCAGATCTGTCTTTCGTAACAGCCTTTGGGCAATTTCCGTTGAAAGAGAGCCACGGGGAGAGCAATATGGTGATTTGCTTGCTCGCAGTCCTCGTGGATCTTCCAGGCGATACCTTTAATAATTAAGATTAATAAATAATATTAACATATGATTAATAAATAATATTAATATATGATTACTATATGATATTAATGTAATTAATATTGCTTGTATAATGTCGCACAATGGTTTTTGATCATTAAACCTTCTTACGTTATTTCCCTTTCTGTTCTTTTTTGATCCAATTACATTTTCATGTGCTTAACATTGTTTCATTTATTTACCTTTTATTCACTTAGTCATGTTCTCATTTTGTTAAAGGTACTTTTAAATTTGAAAATAGTGTTAGAAAATCATAATTGGATTGTATATTTTTAATTTTTCAATAATATTTCAACTTTGTAGATAAACTGAGGAACGTAGCAGGGTTAATAATTTGAGTGTCATGTCGCCCACATACGGGTGACACATCTGTCAGTCAAAAATTGAAAAGTAGAATTTGATTGACGTCGTCAACACCTGGCGACTTCCGTTACTAAATTATTTAAAAAAGATTGTGACGAGGAAAATTGTTTAGTGATGTAAGTAAATAGACAATAACGTGAAATAAAAATTGTATTACTCTATTTCATTAAAACTAGCATTTTAATAAAAGCTTGCAGTTAACTGATAATAGTTATTTATGCAATACTATTATTATTGTAATCATTATAATGATTACATTAATTATAAATAGATGAATATTACAACTAATCTTCAAATATTTATACATTTATATCTAACATGTTAAATGAAAAAAAGTTACATTAGTCTCCGTAATTATAAAAATTTGTTTAATGTTATTCGGAAATGTCAAATTCATTCAATAATTCTTTTCATCTAAGAAGTAAGGTTGAAATATCATGAAATGAAGAGAACAAGAAGATGACGATGGGTTCCGCGCACAATTCTCTTCTATGGCCCCTTACCAGTTCAAATACTAAGTATTAACTTAATTGAAATTAGTTTACGAGTTATTGTCTCACTGGCAAGTCAATTTCGAGGAAAATGACAAACAGAAAACTGAGTTTATTGTCTTTATGTATCATGCTAGGAATCAGAAAACCATCTCAAATTATTCTAGAGGAGACGTGAAAGGTTTATGGAGACTCTTGTCTTGGAAAATCTTAGTTTTGAAGTGACGCAGCCTTTTCAAGGAAACCAGAGGTTCGATCGAAGACGATCTCCAGTCTAGGCGACCTGAAAAGACAACATCGATGGAAATTAAGGAAACAGAAGAACAATTTATATTGGAAAATACCGGTTTTAGGAATACAACAGTTCTTTATATTTTTCTTGTTCTTTTTTGCGCCAAGTTTTTATCTTCCCTTGTTTTCCGTCCCTGTCTGCTAGGTTCCTACTTTATTATTTATTTATACAAGGACCATTGAATGCAATCGTATCATGATAGCTTGGTATAAATTTCCATGCAGTGCCTAAATAATTGATACTTTCGTATTCCCTGGCTTTTACGTTACAACGTTGTTTTAACATTAAAATGTAATTAGAGAACTGTATTAACATATTCACGTGTTTCTTATATCCACTTTGGAGGGATATTTTCATTCCTTCAACTTGATCAATGATTCATGCGAAAAATAAATGTCAGATATATTTTTGAGATCTAGTTTGTATCTTATTTTAATCAAAATCGGCGGATGTCATATTAATGTTTTCTTTTGCAAGTTATATTAATCATAAAATAAATATTAAATAAGGAATTATAAACAGGTTTCTGTAGTACTCTGATTGCACTTTGTTCAAGTATTTGTATTATTTAACTAGACTATTGTAGAAATATCATTATGTATATAACAGTGATAAACGGTTTATATATGTTATAGTTTTAAAATAAATAGTTTAATAAATAATTTAAACATAACGGTTCAATAAACAGTTTAAACATAAACACTGATGAACCGAAGTATTTTCTTAGATAAATTTTATTTATTTGTAATAAGTGGATTTAATAAATTCCATCAAGTGAAATAAATGTTTTGGAAACAGATAAATTACATTTTAACCAATTTAGAGAGATACAAAAGCGATATAAAACAAAACAAAAATATGATCGATTCATGAAAGAAACAACGAACGTTCTGAAATTGGGCGCCCACTGTGGAATATAGTGGTGTTCAAAAGTTTCCAGCCACATCGTTTTTGGAATTGAGTCCATGCCACACCGATGTACCGTTGTCATGAATGCAAAGGGTATGGCCACAAAACACTAAGTGTAATTTGTTAAATACCATACATTAAATTATTATGACAATATAAAACAAGCATTAAGTATTTTCTTTTTTAAACACTCTGACCAAAAACCTTTGAATATGCTGAATTATTTATTTTTTTAAAAATATGTATAAAAAATAGATGGTGTTAAAGTTTTTACAGTATCCTCTCATACAATATGTCTTTTGTATGTCATAACAACAAAAAGTTCTTAAAACTTTTATTGTATAAGAAAAGTTCCAAAAACGTTCTGGCAGATAACTTTTGAACACTTCTGTATTTCTAACATACATAAGTAATTCAATTTAGAAGCATTTATATTTATATGTTAATTAGAATACATACCACATTGCCCTGTCATTCTCGAGAGCTCGCTGCAAATCAACGTTGCATTCGCCGAGGAAAACGTTATCACCATCAGGACAGAAATCCCAGAGAGTCACTTCGATTGCGCGCTGCATTAAGCTTTCGCCATCAACTCCGGAAAAGAGTAATGTCGCATTCCAAATTGGCTTTTGACTCGGCTCGGCGACTACTGTTTTCAAGGTAGTTTGTTCACCACTGCAATATTGTAGACGAACGATACATTATACAGCGAAGAACTTCGAAACACTTAATTTCATGAACCTTTGACTATTTCCATTATTCCTATTATCTGTTAATTAGACGTTTATTTTCTATTATAATACTCAGTTACATACAATATATTTAGAAATCTGATTAACTAATGAATAGATATCTATTTGATATTAAAAAATTCAATTATACAGAATACATTTAGGAATCTATTATTTATAATTCTATGAGAAAAATTGTTATAATAAAAATCAATTATTGCATTAGACATTTATATTAATAATAAAAATATTTTCTTAATCTTTTTTATTTCCTGTCTCTGTTTGCTTAATTTGAATGTTGAACTAAACAATTAATTTCGTTATATTTACCATCGTGATGTCAAGTAATCATTTTGCAATAAAAATTCAAATAATACGAGGATGCAATACAAAATAAATTCATTAAAAAATGAAATCAGATCATTTAGGAATCAACAACTTAAAAAGTCTATACAAACTCATCGTATTAATGAATCCTCAAGAAAATA